AACATCAATACATCGCAAGCGATTACTATATATGAACATTTTAAATTAAAACATTCTTATGGTACACTTATATGTAACAGATGTCGAAGTGATTTAGGTCCGTTTATCAATAATGAAAAACAAGAATTGCATGAAGCACGGTTTAAATGGATATTAGATATAAAGATAAGTGATGACGAATCCGATAATGAAAGTTCTGATGCTGGTTCAAATTTTATTCCATCACAAAGTTCTATTGGAAGCGACCAGTCTGATATTAAAAAACAACAATGTATGGCATTAAACAAATTTCTTGAACTTTGTAATATCAGAAAACAAGTTCGAGTTACAAAATCTTACACTAATCTAACTGAACAATCAAAACGAAATTTTTTATCAACAACAAGAATAATGATTAAATCAATAGTAGGATTTGTAGCTCTCAATGATACCAATATTGTTATTAATGAATTATTTAATATTGATGATAATAAAAGCAACATCATATTAGATGATAAATTTTTATCCGTTATGGCTGGTATCGCTGAAACATATAATAATGCAACAGAATGGTCTATACGTCGACAAATATTATCAATCGTTGCATCCAAAATAAGTTATAAATTAATTCAAGGATTTATCCCTGGTTTGACACTATACAGATTTACGGCAGCACGATTGCATGCAGCACAGTTCGGTACAGGTGCTGTGGTTGAGCGCACATCCACAACAATACAAAAATTTGAACCTGAGCAAATAAATCACTTTGTTGATTTCATCATCAGTCCTCACATTTGCAGTGATATGCCATTTGGTGAAAGGATCTTAAAGTTACCCAATGGCTCAGAATTATATGTACCTGAAACAATACGTAACGTAATTCCAACTCGTATTATTCAACAGTATTATCAATATTGTGATGAAATGTTTTCTGGCTTTAAAACATTAAATTCTTCCAGTTTGTATAAAATATTAAGTATTTGTAAAGCATCAACGCGTAAATCATTCCAAGGCCTAAACTACTTCGCAGCGGATGGGAGTGAACCGTTTGACTGTTTGATAGAAATTATTCAAGATATCCATATTGATCGCGATAAAAAAAAGCATTTAATTGATAATTTGAAACGCGGCAAACAATATATAAAATCAGATTTCAAAGTACATGTTGCAAAATTATCTACCATAGCTGATCATTGTATAACATATGCAACGAGTGATAAAACAAATAAGCTTATAAATTTAATATCTGTTTGAAAATTTGCTTTTAGTTCTAAATGAGAAAATAATATATCATATATATAACTGATAAACCAAAAAATAATGATATAAGTAAAAAATGTGAATTTTTGCAAGTCGGTTAGTCGCGGTTAACCGATCGCCACGCTTGTTGACATGGCTCATAATTTTAACCATGTCAACGTATTCACGATAAAACAACTGCTTTTTTCAAAATTCTTACTCATTTGGTTCTGAATGAGTATTTTTTCTATGTCTTTACTTGTGAATAAATATTCCACTAGATAAACTAATAGATAGTTTTTATTTGGGCTAGATAATTCATCAATGTATGAGTGAATATGCAGCAAAGATTTATCACACTTCTGCAGTATTTTACTGCAGAAGTGAAATTTGTTCAGTTCTGTCTACTGTCTGTACAAGGATTGTCGTTGTGTGATAAATCTTTGCTGCATATTCACTCATACATTGATGAATTCCACTAGATAGTAGTTCATATGCGGCGGGGCCTGTACACTAGGGAAGACTTGAGCCAACCCTAGATTTGCCAATAAAAACCCTTTTTCTGTGGTATTTTCTCTACATTAATTGTGAGCGTATCCTAGACCCAATCCGTTCCGCTGCCTATGTAGTAGCCACTAATGGACAATATCTTCAGTGTAGGGATTAAAATCAGAATAGCGTGTTGCCCTACTAACTACCGTTGGAAAAACAGTCAAGGCTTGAAAATATATGCAAAATAAATATTCACAAGAGCAATGCGACTAACGAATTCTGTTTTACGAATGCAAAGTAGGATGAGAAAAACAAATTTTTCCAAATGACTGTTGATTGAACTTTGAAGATATTTTTTTGTTACTCTTAGCTACTCACGTTTAGTTGCGTGACTGAAAAAAGCAAATCATTAGATCATCTTTCGAATAAGAAAATCGATAATTCTTTCATGAGCCTATTAAACAATAAAAGAATATTTTTTATTTCTCTAAAATATCTGCATGTCACTAGATGAATATGAACGAGAACAATTTTAAAATGAATGACAGGTTCTTGCGCAAAAAAAGGCTTAAAATCAATTTGGAAAGAAAAAAAGAGAATTTTCTCCAGTTTTGATAATTGTTGTTTCACATTTCTCTCGCCTCACCATGTTCCAGCAATGGCTGGTGATCATTTACAGTCACTACTAATATGTTCAATAGAAACACTATTTATCGACAAATTAAATGACGAAGAACTAGTAGAAAAGTGCACTAACAGTAAAAGCGTTCATAGAATTTAGGATTTTGTGTGTATTTCCTTTCTGTGTTATTTTTCAACAGTTCGTACAGTCGTGGAGAGGACAAATAAAGAGAAAAAATAAACTTGTCCCTTTTTAATTTCTAACACCAGTGCGAGATTCAGCGACGAAAAAATGATGATATTCTTTTCGTTTATCGCGCCGCTACTGCTTAAAATCGACTACCAGAACTGGTATAAACCGTAGGAGAAGCTCCTTGTGATTATTCGTTCATTTCACTTTTGCCTACACATACGAGAGAACTCTCTCAATTGTACAACCGTTTTTTTAATGAAATCTACTGGGTTGTAAGTCAGAAACTCTAAAAAATAATAACTAAAAGCTTTCTTAATAAGACATGGTTGTAGCTCGCAAATTTCTGATTAAAGTGAGACATCTACCAGCTCTATACGACCTTTCTTTGCAAGCCTATAGAATGTTACAAGAAAAGCCATAAATGTTCATTGTCAGCTCAAAGTTACAGAAATAAGAAGAAATTAATTTTTTCTATAACTCTGCAAAGAAAGATCATGTAGAGCTGGTAGATGTCTCATTTTGGTTAGAAATTTGCGGACTACTATCATGTCTCATTAAGAAGGGTTTTAGTTATTTTTTAGAGTTTCTAAAACACTGGTTTTCCAGAAAACCAGTCTCTCAAGGCATATAACCCCGTCTCATGTTAATATTCGGAATCAGCATGGTTGATTACCTACAACGCAGTAGATTTCATTAAAAAAGCGGTTGGAAAATTGAAGTTCCCTCGTTAGTTATGTTTACTAGTGTTTTCTTTGCCATAATATATAGAGAGAGAATCTCTCTCTGTATATTATCGAACAGAGAGATTGAAAAATTTGACTGAAAATTTTAAAAGAAAACATCTTTCAAATGTGTGTAACACCCGCTGGATAGATCGTCACGATGCGGTGATTGTATTTCGTGACTTATATCCGTGCGTACTGCAATGTTTTGGTGAGATAATCTCTCAATTACTGAGAAAAGTAAAGATGCACAATTGGCGTATAATTTATCTATTAATATGAAAGATTCAACATTCATAGTAGGATTATGTATATTAAATAAATGTTTATCACTAACGTTATCCGTTGCATATGGTTTACAGTCACCGGGTGATGATATTATGGATTGCGCACAACTAATTGATGATATAATATTTATGTTTAAATATATTCGAAATGAGAAATTAGAACAAAATTATGAAGAAATTTTTTATGTAAGTTGTTGCGACCATAAACCGTAAACAGCACCCTTGAATATTTTAGGATGTCAGAGAGTTATGCGATATAACTGGTCATGAGGTGAAAATGCCGCGGATAACTGGTAGACAGATAACTCGTTCAAATGTACCATCAACAACACCACAAGAATATTATCGTGTTAATTTATTCATTCCAATATTAGATCATTTTATTGCTTCACTTAACGAACTATTTTCTACTCATCAGTGGTTGGCATTAATTGTGTCTCGTTTAATCCCAGCATTCATCGAAGGAAAAACATTTGATGATATTAAAGAAGCTGTTGAAATGTATCAGGATTTGTTACATGGTTCAACAGCTGTTATTAAACAAGAGTTTTTATTATATCAGACGAAATGGATCGATATTCAGTCACATGACCGTCCTAGTAATGGTATGGAAGCTTATCTGTCATGTAATGAAACATTTTATCCTTATATAAAAATATTATTAAAAATTTATGCAGCAATAACAACCGCGACCGGTGAAAGATGCTTTTCCATATTGAAGCACCTAAAAACATATTTAAGGTCAACTATGTCCGAAGATCTTCTTAATGGATTAGCAATGTTAACCATAAACTCGGATATAACCCCCTCCCCCCCATAATAGAAGACCACCTGGTCTTCTATTTTGTCCCGCAAGTCGAGTTCTAAAGGGTGGTCTTCTATTGCGGTCAAGTTTTGTCGCCTGCTAGTAGTCCAACGGTAACCTCACGTACTTGGGGTCCGTTTCCCACTCGAAGCACGTTTTGGCGAAATTTTTTTTGAAAATTCCGCTATAGGTATAGGGCATTTCGGATTTTTTTCCCAGACATAATAGAAGACCACTGGTCTTCTAGGAGTTACAAGACCATGGTCTTCTATTTGGCTTTCAAGTTATATAATCGGCAGTGGTCTTCTAATAGGGGATGGTCTTCTATTATGGAGGGGGGTTTAGCTATAGATATTGATAAAGTGATAGATCGCTTTTCCAGAAAAAAACGACTTGCTAATTTTGTTTTATGATTATAAATATTACTTTAATTCTATCCTGTGTAGCGAGGAATAGTAGTTTAGTTGCCATCTATGTTATATCATTCCGTTATTGCTCTTATATTATATAGTAAGTTATTGTCTCAGTATCGTCATCATCACCACATCTGCCAGAAGGAAAACTTTTAGCAAGGATCATGCAGATGATTCTGACTTCGTTGGAGATAATTGTTTATGAAAATATATAGAACAATCATACAGTGAATACATATTCACTCGTGTATACTCATATGACTGTGACGAACCGACCATACTTTTTCTTTCTTCTTTTGTACGTACATGCGCAGATACGAAAGAATCAGTAAGAAAATGAGAAGAAAAAAGTATTTTTTCTGTACTTATTGTTGTTCCAGGAACAGAAAAGAAAGAAACGTGAGTTACCTCATGATTATATGTGTTCCAGTACAAAAAGAAGCACAGGCACGTTTTTAATACTTATTTCATAAGAATAAAAGTGTCGGTAGACTATAATATTTTTTATTGTGACTTTTCATTTCAACTAAATAAAGCTTAAACAGAACACGATGAACGGATTACAGCTAATCGGCTTAGCTGCACGAGTGAGTGGACTGGAGGTCAAACCCGTTTCCAGCAGGTGCGTTATAGTTTTGTTTGTTTATTTTTAGCGTGTAACGACCTCGTTACTGAATGTTCGATCAGTAACGCCCACTCTTAGTATTATTCGTTGTGATACCCAAAGTAGTGGAACCAAAGGTATTTCTTTTACACGGCGAAAAAGGGAGAAGCTTTTGTGTTATTTGTAGATTTCATTTCTAGGTCCTCAACACGTAAGTGGGACGATATCATCAGATAGCAGAGGTTCGACAAGACAAGGCTCATCCAGTAACTCTGGTTCCAGCAAAGGTGATCGAAGTGGACCTGAAGCTTCATCATCCTCGTCATCATCTGATGGTCATGAAAGAAGTAGCACTGGACAGTCGTCATCTGGAAAGGATGGAAGCAGCGTAAGCGTCATCTGATCAACTTTTTGTGTAGCAAGCAGGCTTTAATTTTCACCTTTAATTTTCAATAATTATGACACATTATTCTGTTGTCTAGAAGAAGCAGTAGCTGGCTTTCTTTAGTTCAGCCTTTCCTATGAAAATTATATACCAGCAGAAAGCGCTCAAAAAAAACTGATGTTAGTCTGACCTATAGTAACTTTATCTATCCCAACTCTGTACAAAAATTCTGTTCTTACCACGAGAATTTTACTTATTCATACTCTTTTCGTGTGACTACAGATGGGTATGGCACTTTTACCGGGACCAGAAAAACCTTTTATAACTCAGCCATTTCAAAAGCTAACATTTTTCTGAATCATGTATTTCAAGGAAGTCCCTTGTAGCTTCGTTTTAAAACGTTCCGCAAATTTGAGCAACCATGCTTCTCGGAGAAAAACCTGACCTCACGCCAGATTGGTTTTGGTCCCTCTTGTTTTTCTCGACTTTTTCTCTTTCTGAAAACGTAAAATTCTTACGGCATCCTGTTTTAGCTGTAAAATCGGTGCGGTTATTTTGAAAACACGGCAGTGTAACGACGAAGAAACAGTTGTACTTTGCTTATACGTTTTTCCAACTTGTAATTACATTTTCAATATATGACCATTTATCAGTAAATGAAAAACGGAGACGAATTCTACTACTTCAGATTCCCTCGAAATATTCGCAGACGATACCTTCAAGATATCTGTCTCAACAGACTCTATTCTTCTCCGATCAGCAGACTATTTATTATAATAATAATAATTATAAGCAATAATTCACCCATGTTGTCTGCCCTCTGTAGAACTGCTGTGTAATTGCTCTTGCATGTTGCTGTATAAAGCTTACATGCATCAGTTAAAATCGACAAAAAAGCGACGCAATCTGGCTGTTTGTTTACTTTGCTTAAAAAACCAGAAATATATAGCTTATTATGCGCAATAAGAATGTGTTATGAAAACACGTCACAAATTGATATGAAAAATAAAAACTGAGTTCTTGTAAAACCGGTTCGATTCTCGAAATAAATGCTTACTTTCAATAGGTATAACTTGGTTGTTTTCTTTGTATATTTTAGAGTAGAAATGATCAAACTCATTCAGACTCTGCTGGTCGTTCAACGTCTGGTCTCGGTGGTAGTTCTGAATCAAGTCCTGGTTCACCTAATAATAGTGGTCAAGTTCATGCGTAACTTATAAACGCTCATTCATACTTAAATATTTTCGCTCGATTCTCTATCAATTGTTTTTTTTGTAGTTTTCTTCTGTATCTTGTCGATAATTATTGTTTGTCACCTTTTGTGTAATATAAATGCAGACAAAGTGGAAAAAAGAGAAAAACGAAATGATCCATTTATTACGCAATAATCAGAATCTTCATTAACAGATTTGCCAATTTAAAAGAAACATTGCCTACACTTACACTTTACTTTTCTACTTCATATTTTTATTTTGTTTTGCTGTATCACTACAGTTCAACCACTACAGTACTATGAAAACCAGAATTCTAGCAGAAATCTTCTCTGCTGTAGTGCTACAATACTATAGATAACTGTAAAGTTGCCATATTTATATTTTTGTCGAACCTCTGATTCATGTCGCAATCAAAATGGCCGTTAGTTTGTTAGCAACGACTATGTTAATTACAGAAAAGTTTTAAAATCTTGCGAAGATCTTGATCAAGATTTTTGCAGGCAGGTTTTTCAAAAACTTGATTAAGATCATGACAAGAATTACTGAACAATCTTTAAGATCAAGAAACATAACAGATCTTGTGCAGATATAAACTTTCTGCAAGGCGTGGGTTATTATCTTCGACTGCTGAATCAGCAGTGGGACGAAAGACTACCGACATGTTTATAAGAAATGAACATGTTCTATACAAAACATATCTTTTTATTTCCTTATTTCGTTGAACGTTTGGACTAAAGAGAAAGACTTGTTTGTATGATAATTAATA